TATTGTTGCTTTCCCTGTATCAAAGCAAACAGTCTCTCCTCTGCTCTCCTCTTTTCTTCTCCTCTTCTCTTCTTCCCTTCCCTCTTCTTTACTCCCCTCCCTCCCCCACCTCGCTCCTCCTCTCTTTCTTTCCTCCCTCTATCCCTCCCTCCATCCCTCTGACTCTCCCTCCTTTCCTTCCCCTTCCTTTCTTCCTTCCTTCCTTCCTTTCTTCCTTCCTTCCTTCCTTCCTTCCTTCCTTCCTTCCTTCCTTCCTCCTTTCCTTCTTTTCCTCCCTTTCTCCCTCCCTCCCTCCCTCCCTCCCTCCCTCCCTCCCTCCCTCCCTCCCTTCCTGTTCCCCCACCCAATATCACTATGGAAAACAAAACAGTGCCTGGAATACCATGCGCTACTGACAATCAAACCCTGGGTCTTCTCCACACACAGCCTGTGCTCATGCTTTGAGGTATCTCTCTGGCCCAATATGGTGTCACTTTCACAGGGGAAACTGCAGCCTATGTCATGTCCCTAAAAAAGCACTTGGCCTCATGTTGGGTCTACCAAGACCCCTATTGCTGTCTGACGTAGCAAGAACTCATCTCAATCTTCCTGCACCTTTGATAGCAAAGTTTCTAACCCTTCTATAGGAAAGGTTCCAGCATACTCCAGGCTTTGCAGTGACAGGGCCAGGCCATAGATTTGCGATATCAACATCTAGAACAAATATCTGAGCAGTTCTTACTCTCAAAACAGGTTCATTTGCTGCCAAGACATTATTTTTTATTTGTTTCCTTGCTTTGTATACTTCAGGAAAAATTATAAAATATATTCTAAAAATTATTTTATATTAAAAAACAATTTTTAACTACAAACTGTATAAAGGACAACTTATACCTCAAATTAGCATCTGCACAAAAATAAACTGCTTTTAGGATCAGAGGAAATAGTACAGAGGTTAAGGCACTAGCCTTAACTGCAGCTGACCCCAGTTCAATTTCTGGCAGTGCCCCTGGACCCCAAGTACCGCCAGCAGGGATTCCTGAGCACAGAGCCAGGACTCAGTCTTGAGCAAGGTAGGTGTGGTCCCAAAGCAATAATGAAAGTTCCCCAAACTTAAATCTATATACACATGTCCTGTCCCTGAGCTTCTTTCTCTCTTCAATAATTGATATTATTAGCTTAAAAACTGGCAGGAAAAACAGGATTGAAGTTACTTCTTGCTCTTTTATGCACAGAGGGTATCCTGCTTACCACCTTCCAAATTTCCTTCCCAAATAGGATCAACTGCATACCTTTACAGTAAAGACAATTGTTGACATGCAGATTTAAAATTTTTACTGAATCATGTTAAGCGAAATGAGTCAGAAAGAGCGGGATAGACACAGAAAGATTGCATTCATCTGGGGAACATAAAGCAACAAAACGGGAGACTAACACCCAGGAATAGCTGAGATTAGTACCAGGAATTTTGCTCCATGACTTGAAGGCCAGTCACCCATGCTAGGTGAAAAGGAAGCTCAGATAGAGAAGAGAGCATCAAATAAAGGGTGTTGTGAGGACCCCCCCAGGGTGGGAGAAGCATGCTAAAAGTAGTCTATATTCAACTCTGTTCCATTGGTCTGCAACTCTGCCTTTGTTCCAGTACCATGCTGTTTTGATTATTACTGCTTTGTAGTAGAGCTTGAAGTTAGGTAGGTTGACACCTCCTCCCAAACATATAATCATCTAATCTTTGATAAGGGGGCAAGAAAAGTGAAATGGAGCAGGGAAAGCCTCTTTAATAAATTGTGCTGGCAAAACTGGTCTGCTACATGCAAAAAAGTGGGCTCAGATCTCTGCCTAATGCCATGCACAAAAGTAAGATCGAAATGGATTTATGACCTCAACATCAGACCGGAATCCATAACGTTTATTGAAGACAAAGTTGGCAAAACTCTCCATGATATTGAAGTTAATGGTATCTTCAAAGATGTCACGCCACTGGCCAAGCAAGTGAAAACAGAGATAGACAAATGGGACTATCTTAAACTAAGAAGCTTCTGCACCTCAAAAGAAACAGTGACCAAAATACAAAGACAGACTACAGAATGGGAAAGAATATTCACCAAATACACAACTGACAAGGGGTTGATATCAAGGATATACAAGGTACTAGTTAAACTACACAAGAAGAAATCACCCAACCCCATCAAAAAATAGGGCGAGGAAATGAACAGAAACTTTCACAAAGAAGAAATCCGAATGGCAAAAAGGCACATGAGAAAATGCTCCACATCACTAATCATCAGAGAGATGCAGATCAAAACAACAATGAGATATCATTTCACACCACAGAGACTGGCCCACATCCACAAAAGCAACAGGTGCTGGCGTGGATGTGGCGAGAAAGGGACCCTCCTTCACTGCTGGTGGGAATGCAGGCTGGTCCAACCCTTTTGGAAAACAGTATGGACGATTCTCAAAAAATTAGAATTTGATCTCCCATTTGACCCAGCTATAGCACTCCTGGGAATATATCCCAGAGAGGCAAAAAGGTATAGTCGAAGTGACATCTGCAATTGTTTGTTCATTGCAGCACTCTTTACAATAGCCAGATTCTGGAAAAAACCTGAGTGCCCAAGGACAGAGGACTGGTTAAAGAAACTTTGGTACATTTACACAATGGAGTACTATGTAGCCGTTAGAAAAGATGAAGTTATGAAATTTACATGCAAGTGGTACTACATGGAAAGTATCATGTTAAGCGAAATGAGTCAGAAAGAGCGGGATAGACACAGAAAGATTGCATTCATCTGGGGAACATAAAGCAACAGGAATGGCCGAGATTAGTACCAGGAATTTTGCTCCATGACTTGAAGGCCAGCCACATGTGCTAGGTGAAAAGGAAGTTCAGATAGAGAAGAGAGCACCAAATAAAGGGTGCTGTGAAGACCCTCCCAGGGTGGGAGAGACATACTGAAAGTGGTCTGTGGACCAAACATGATTGCCACTCAATGCCTCTCTTGCAAAACACAGTACCCAAAAGAAGAGAGAGAGAACAAGGGGGAATGCCCTGCCACAGAGGCAGGGTGGGACAGGGGGATGGGGGGTGGGGGGGGATGCTGGGACCCGTGGTGGTGGAGAATGGGCACTGGTGGAGGGATGGGTACTTGGTCATTGTATAATCGAAACCCAAGCACAAAAATTTATAAGTCTACAACTGTACCTCATGGTGTTTCACTAATAAAAAAATAAAAAATAAATAAAATTTTTACTGAAATATTGTACCTAAATTTATCCAAAAGAATAATAATAATTTTCAAAAATGATCAGGGGCTAGTACAAAGCCTCAAAAAGCTGAAATACATGCTGTACCTGCGGAAGCCCCAGATCTACCCTCAACATCACATGGTTCCCCAAGCACCGCCAGGGAACAACCCAGGAGCACCAAGTGGGTGGTGGTCCCAAAACAATAACAAAAAAAGATTATTGTCAGAAAACTCTGTATTACCAATGTGGAAAAAATAAAAAACTGGGAAATGGGAAATAACCAACAGAAAATAGAAATTTTTCACATAGAAACACGACATAAAACTAACTATAATTGGCAAAAGAGGAAAAACAGAGGTCTGTATAGACAAATTTCCTCTTCATTAGTAAATTACTTGTATTCTTCCTCTTCATTAGTAAATTACTTGTATTCTTACATATTTTGTGTGTATCACACAGCTCACACATTACGTTTATTTTCCCATATTTTTCCTTTCTCTCCGTCCATTTCTTCCTTCTTCCTCTTCCAGCTAAAAGCCATTGCTATAATATAAACTCTCTAAATGCATGTGCACATGTGCTACAGTATGAGAAAAACCCCAGAAAGACTACAGAGAGAAATGACTATATAGGCAAATAAACGATATGCTATGAGTGCCTCTACTTTGGTGCCTCTACTTTGGTGAAATTAAAATGACAGTTCACCCATGATTGCCACTCAATGCCTCTTTTGCAGACCACAACACCCAAAAGGAGAGAGAGAACAAAGGGCAATGCCCTGCCACAGAGGCAGGTTGGGAGGGGGCGTGGGGGGAAATGGGCACTGGTGGAGGGATGGGTATTTGATCATTGTATGACCGAAACTCAAGCACAAAGATTTGTAAATCTACAACTGTACCTCATGGTGCTTCACTAATAAAATAAATAAATAAATAAATAAATTTAAAAAATGACAGTTCACCAGGAGAAATTAAGATGATAGAGTTCCCCCTGTTACCAGGATGGGGTCCCAGACACCAAGAGCACCAGTTGTTTTTAATATTCTGGATACATACTGCATGTTCTTTGTTACAAATGCTTAAGCACTTAAAAATATATATGGTTGCATTTTTCCTAATGTAAATAACTAGGAGCAGCTGGATGAAACTGGATTTCCTATTATCATCATTAACACCACCACTTCCAATCATATGACTACAAATTTATAATATGTTAACAAAGATCTCTTTAAAGTTACATCATATTCCCAAGCCCTTTTTTTCAAATTCTTAAATATTTCAAAAATAATACTGATAGGTAAAGGACAAAGCTTTGAAAAGCAAATCTATTATTTTGTTTCACTAATCCAGACTCTGCTTAGAACCCATGATGCCCCCAAAGAATGAGGCAGGAAGAAATGTGCCTCTCATTCCCTCAGACTTCTGGCCCATGGTTCTGAATCAGGAACGTCCATATCTCAAGGGGATATCTGTCAATGCTTCAGATAATCTGGGTGATTACAACTGAAGGGAGGAGAGTTACTGGCACCTGGTGGACAGAGAAAAATGATGCTGCTGACCACCCTGGAGTGTATAGGATTGTCCCCCACCGAAGAAATTCCCAGCCCAGAATGTCACAGTGCTGATGATGAGAAATCTGCCTTATAAAATCAAGGGAACTGTTTCCTAATTTGCACACCAGAAGAGAGAAGGTCAGCCTGCAAAGGAAGTCGACTGATCTTGGCAATGAACCAGAAAGAACATTGTAGTAACATAAGCCAATACGGCACTTACAACACAGGAACACTTGGTGCATTTGTTTCCTTCTGGCTGAAAGGTCTCCCCTTCTTGGTACTGCACACCCTCGAACATGCATCCTGGAAAGCAGAGAAGAGTTTAGAGTCCAACGCAGGCTTCATGTACCCCATATACACTGTTTATCTGCTGTTCCTCATTTCTTCCCTTAACAGCCCACCTTGCAAAACTTCCCCTAGCCATAGAACAAGATTTCTCCATTGGGAAAAAAAAATAAGAACAGTAATACATATGCACAAAAGAATGTCATGGAGCTGAGATCTGAAGTGACTAGATTAGTAAAAGGATGGGAATAAGTCGGCCTGGGGGCAGCGTACAGAGAAGAGTTGGGCGATCTGAGGAGCTCACTGGGACCAGGCTGGAGTCCCAGGCACCAAGAGCATCAGGAGAAGCAAGCAGAGTGCAAGGGAGAGATGGCTAAGGTGAGTTATGGTGAATCAGAGGAAACTGTCCTGGCTCTGCCAGGTCCTGCCTACTGTTGGTCTCACTCCACTTCCCAGTGAGTTTACCAAACAGTTGCTGTCTCTCAAACAGTCTCTAGTCACTTTCCCCACAGATGAGGAAAACATGATTCAGGGAGAATAAATAGCTTACACAACTGGCAGGAAGCAGGGCTGAGACTTGAACTCAGCTCTGTCACACCAGCCACACTGAGTGAAAGGCAGACATCCAGGCATGAAGGGGAATAGGCAGGGCCGGAGGTGCCACTCAGGTTTCTAGTCTCACCCTGTGTTTGCTGTTCAAGAAGATGAGACCCCCCACCATGGCTGACTAAACACAGGCCAAGAGTCCAGGATATCTTAAGAATAAGATGCCAAGGAAGGAGAGATAGCACCTGGGTTAAGGCACTTGCCTTGAGTTTGGCTGATCCTGGTAAAATCCCCAGACCCACATATGATCAGAGAGATCCCTTAGCACAGAGCCAGGAATAAACTCTGAGTGACACCAGGGGTGTTTCAACAACCCCTATCCCCTCAAAGCATAAGATACTGCCGTAGTCTTAAAACATATCCCAACAACCCAAGATCTCTGGGGCAATCTCAGAGGGGGGGATGGGCCAACTTCCACCGAAACAAAGCTACAGCAGACAACCCCCGCACCACAAAGCTGCTGCCATGCATTCAGCCAGACCCCAATACTCAGAACTGAGAGTCACAGAGAACCAAACCTGCTGACAACTCCAGGTACATGGTTTTTGTGTGTGAAAACTCCAGGCCTTCTTGGAGTCAGAGTGGGTGACCTCCCCTGACCTCCCTGTGATTCTGGAAAATCTAGCAGACAGTTGAATATTTAACTGCCCAGTTAACTAGCCAGTGAACTATTCTGGATTTTCTGAAGCACACATTCACGAACACAGGGAATGACCAAACTACATGGCACTGATAACCCAGTAATTATACACCAGATTGGATGGGAAGTAACACAGACGACAACCAATTTTGACTAACAAAACCATTAACACAGAAGGCACAACTTGCAACAGCTCAGTAAAACCTCAGACAAGGGCTTAATGGTGAGATCCATAAATTTTCACATTTTCTCTACAGAAATAATTTAAAAAATAATTCCATTAACCATTCAATGGTCTAAAGCAATATAAAATAAATTATGTGGGCCTTTTACAGGGGCATGCATAAGGATGGTTGGGAAAATGGAGGCCATGGTGGAGGGAAGGTGAGAGTGCTGATGGGATTGGGGTTGGAATTCTGAATGCCTATAATAAATCATCATGAAAAATTTTGTAACCAGGGTGTTTAAACAAATTGGGAAAAATGAAAAAAGAAATAGTTCAATTATCTCAAGTACAGTTAGTCAGTAAGCCTTTGTGCCACCTAGACCATGGAAGAAACAATGACTAATAGTAAAGCCAATGAACTCAAGACTGTCCCCACAATCTCTGCCAAGACAAACTGAGGTAACTTTGCACAGATTAGAGAGTACTGGAAGTCCTGTGGCAAATCTTAACAAAGAAAGTCTTGCAAAATATTGACTCCTACCCCCAAGAGTAAGAGCTCAAGGCCTGCTAAGAAGAGCCCACCAAATTCTAGAAGCAGCTGATTCCTGACCAAAGGCACTAACTTTACCCATAAGCAATCAAAGTGCACATTGAAGCAGTTGGTTTTATAGCCACATCTTGCTTGCTCTTTGTTTAAATGAAAGCAAATGCTACTGCTGGATCTAAAGGTAAAGAGTCAAGCAAGATTATTATTAAGAATAGGCTCAATATTGTAAATCTTATAAAAGAACAGTTTCAGAAGTAAGTTTTTTTGTTGCCCACAGCAGGAAGTAGCATCTCCTTATTGTTCTTGTGGACATAAAAAGTCATGTTAAGGTTGGGTTGTTTCTTCCTATGGATATCATCTTTTCATTATTAATATTAATACCATGTGCCCAGTTGTCTCTTTTCAAAGGAAATTAGTAATAACATTTCAATTCTTTCAAACGTTTGTACACTGTTTCTGTCATACTGATGGCCAGACCAGACACATCAACATTTGACAACTTAAATAGGACATTTTCAATGAAAAAAAATCTAGCAGGTGGGGGCTTTTAGAAATGGTCCTGAAGTGGAGGGAAATGGACACTATTGTAGGGACTATGGTGCTGAAACACTGTATGCAGGAAAATCTATCATTGATAATGTTGCAAATCAGGGTGACTGAAACTAAATTTAAGAAGCAAATAAGAAGCGAAGAAGGAAATAAGTTCAATGCAAACTGTCCTCAACACAAGCCACCACCACTGAGCAATGAGACAAACAGGAGCAGACAATTAAGAATGCCCTGAAATGTGTTCCAAGAAGTAATGGATCACAGGACTGCTTCATGTTTGTCATTATGTAAAATACCATTTGATGGTGGATGACAGATACCTGTACTTATCAATTACTGAGAATACCTCAAGGCTTCCCTCCATTGTCCCTATCTAGACATGGCTAGGGCCTTCCCTCCTAAGATAATAGATAATGCATTCTGTACGTGGGTTCTTCATGAGTTTTTAGATTTTCATTCCAGGGGTAAAGGGAGAAAAGTTGATTTCTGATGCCATAAGAGAGGGCAAACAGTTTCCCAGGTGTCACATGGGTGGAGGAGTATGTGCCAGTGGCATGACCACATTTTTTTTTGTTTGTTTTTATTAGTGAAACACATGAGGTACAGTTGTAGATTTACAATTTTTTGTGCTTGGGTTTCGATTATACAATGATCAAATACCCACCCCTCCACCAGTGCCCATTTTCCGCCACCATGGATCCCAGTATCCCTCCCATACCCATCCCCTCCATCCCACCCTGCCTCTGTGGCAGGGCAATCCCTTGTGTTCTCTCTCTCCTTTTGGGTGTTGTGGTCTGCAAAAGAGGCATTGAGTGGCAAACATGTTCAGTCCATAGTCTACTTTCGACATGCATCTCCCCTCCTGGGAGGATCCTCCAAACACCCTTTATTTGGTGCTCCCTTCTGTATCTGAGCTGCCCTTTCCCCTAGAATGCCCGGCTGGCCTCTAAGCTATGGAGTAATCCTCCTGGTGCTGATCTCAGCTATTCTTGGGTATTAATCTCATTTTGTTACTTTATATCCCCCAGATGAATGCAATCTTTCTATGTCTATCCCTCTCTTTCTGACTCATTTCGCTTAGCATGATACTTTCCATGTTGTACCACTTGATACCCAGCGTGAATACATGCAGAGCAATTATTCTGAAGTGCATATCTGGGAGTCAGGGGTGGAGGTACTACAATTCAGTGACCAGGAATCAGAAGGACTTAAAATCCAACCCCACCTTCTGTTCTTCCTCACTCATCCTATTTTTACTGACTCTAATTTTTCCCTGTGTGAACTACAGACCATACTTAACCTCTTACTTGAATAATCAAAAGCAGAGATCTCTGCCCACCAGCTCACAATTGATGCTAGTGTGCAGGTGTAGAAAGTAGAATGGTCTACTGACCCAATTATAGCTGTTGGTCTGTGGACCTGCACGTAGGACAGGGGCCCTTCAACAAGTGTCAAGATTGACTATACCCAAGTGGATTTAGGATTTTATAATATGTGCAGTTATTGGGATTATAATACATTCTTTCAGGTCCTCAAACAATAAAGCAAAACAAAGGAAACGACTGTTCAAATGTAACTTCAACAGCTGTAATAGATTCAGTATGCTTAGTGAAGCACCATTTTCAAAAGCAGTGCCCAAATGCGACTGTGCCACAAGGAGATAGGTTATATATCCTGGGTTAATCTGTATCAATAAAGCAATAGTCTATCCAACATAACATAATTCATATTTAAGAGTTCTGATCATTTCTAAATCTACAGGGTATAGACAACTTGCTTCCTTATCAATCTGAAGCTTGACTGTGTACTTATCTTGGAGGTCTAGATCCTCCCTCAAAGATCCTGGAAGAATAGGCATAAGATACAGCTGAGGCAACAGTATTGTTTTGTTTCGTTTTTATTCAGAAAGGGGAGGGGAGCACACCCAGATGTGCTCAGGGCTTACTCCTGGTTCTGTGCTCAGGGGTTGCTCTTTGTTGAATCTGATTCTCCCACTTGCAGCATGACCTACAACCCTGTGTTGAAGTCATGTCCCCAGCCTCCAAATTTATTTTCAAAAAGTTTCCTAGGTGATTTTCATATGCAGCCTAGGGAACTACTGAAGTAACTTTAAAAATACTATTGGCACTTAAAAGTTTGGTTACTTGAAACAAAAGAATTTAATGCACTCAGAGGAAACTAAAAGCACTCAGGCAAGTTCTGTTTGATAGCTATATTGCAACTGGATTCCGAAAAGAATTATTTTACTTTAAGGGTGGAGAGATGGCTCAATGGGCTGAGTGGGGGCTTGGCATGCAGGAGACCCATGTTCGATCTCTGGCACCACATAGTCCCTGGAATATCCCCTGGCACCACTTGGTCCTTGGAACACCAACAAGGAGCAACCCCTAAGCACAGAGCTGGGTATTGCCCCTGATCAGTCCCAGATATAGCCCAAAAGCAAGCAAACAAAAAGGAATTATTTTATTTTCAAAGTTTTTGGACTTCAGATAAATGCATCGAAGAGTACCAATGTCACAGACATGCCAGCATGAAAAACATGTCTGGCTGAAATGAGACTCTTGTGGAACTTGGAAAGGTTTGAGGCTGTGGAGAGTGAAAGGACACGTGATTGTCACTCAGGATTGAGAAAAGAGCTAACACAGAAAGGGAGGGGCATGGTGAGGTGCAAGGGAAGGGGATGGAGCAGGGCTCACTCCACAGAAGGGGTACCCTGGCACCTTAGTTTTTCTCCAGGAAGCCTCACAGCTCAGAAGCCTCCTCTAAAACAAAGAGGAGTTATCGTACCACCTCCAGTGAGGAAAAGCACTCAGAGTAAAACCCAAAGGCAGAACATCTAAGATTCTGGGCCAGGGACTTAAGGGATCCAAAAACATCTCTCGCCTCAAAATCCCTAGGCTCATACCTAAGTGTAAGAAAAGTTGCTGGAGGACTTTGTGATCCTGCTGAGAAAAGCAAGAGGAAGCACTCAGCCCCTGGAAAGGAAAGACACCTTAGCTGTCAACGAGGCAGTGAGGCCTCAGCACAGACATAGCGTCCAGCTTGTTGCACCACCACGAAAGCCGAGAGCAGCAAAGACCCCGGGTGGAATTCACTTAGGGCACAGCTCTCAGCTTTCAAAAAACATCTGGTCACCTCATCACCAGGGTAAGCTTTGGCCAAGGTACTGCAATATGAAACAGTAAAAAGACATTTCTAGAAGCAAGGGAAAACCACAGACTTTCCTTCCAAAATCAGCGTTACCTGTGGCCCTGAGCAGTGGAACGCAGGCCTCCGAGCTTGGAGGACGACATGCCAAGACCTACAGCACACTGCATGCATCCTGGGCACCCTGAGTCGGAGAGGGCATTTCTATGCAAAGTAGGTTTTTTCTCTAAAGCCATCAGCTACACTGATGAGAAAAAGTCAAGTGAGAAAAATTCTAGCCAGGAGTGGACAGCAGGACGTTCGGCATCTTGAAGGAACTTTTGGGGAATTCTCATGCTTCTATGCAGGGCGCCTCACAAACCTCTGGAGAACGATACCTGGGCATGAGGGACAGCATGCTCCTGGCTGCTTGGATGGGTTTTTGCAATGCACAACACACCACACTTGCGATTCAGTGACAACGCCTTCCTGAAAAACAGAACAGCAGCCAGCACAGTCAGTCCAGGGTCCCGCCAGCAGCAACTCACTTTGGGAAAATAATTAGGTGGATGAGAAAAGTATAAATAGCACAGGGTTCCCAAGCCCCAGTGGTAAAAGGCTCATAAGGACCCATCTCCCAAGCTCTCCAAATCAAATTCCCCAAATCAGTGTGCCAGCCATGTCCCTGGGCTGGTTCTCTCTCTCTCTGTCTGCATTTCTTTCTTCCTTTTCGATCCTGCATGTGTGTCCCTCTTGCTTCAGTCAGTAGTTGGCAGCATCTACTTATTTGTTCAAGAAGGCATTCCATTTTCTATACTTGCTAGATTTTCTATCTGATCATGAGGCAGAGCATAATACCCCAGAATAGCATCTGAAGATCTGAACTCTTACCATCCTAATAGTTCTTCAGTCTTACAAAGGTTCCTTGCCTCCATCTCACAGAGCCTGACTCTCAAGCATAAATCAAGAAATTGCATACAATTATGTTTAAGTTCTTACTAAATATGTCACAACGGGGCTGTTAGGTCTTCAAAATGAAATCCAGGGACTCCTTTCCAAATGATCTTGAGACTAATGCCCGAATGTCAGTTGAAACCATTTTTCATTAATTTTCAGAGTTGCCCTTTGAAAATATTTCTTCGTATTCTCTACCCATTTTATAAGGGGATTTGAATTTTCGATGGTTTAATTTTGGTTGGGGGGGATGAATAGTATCTGATTTTTTAAAAAGTGATAACTTGATGATTACTAGGTACTTTTCATCAATATATTCCACAGCAATCTAAACCCAATGAGGACTGTATTCTAAGTGTCTTCCTATCCATTAAGCCTGAGGTTTTCAATATCATGGCCCTATAGCATATGCAGGAAAGAAAATACTGTCAAAATATACCATGAACAACATCAAAAATGGATCTGGACTTTTGTTATAGGACATAAGCAATGTGAAAAGCAATGTATGCCCCAAGATCAATTTCTCATTAGTATCTGCAATCCAGATGGAGAGTTCAGGGTAGTTTCCAGCATGAATATCCTGTCTGTGATCTTCAGATATTTTCCTTTTCCGGTACAAAACCAAAAGAGGAAATTAAAGGTAAAAAATTCATTACCAAATCTCTTCTGATTGGTGGGATATAAGAAACAAGCCAGACTTCTATTTGAATGAAGCAAGCCAGATGGTTTATCTGTCTTATACCCATTGGTACCCAATACACACGAACTCCACCAGAAGTGATTGGGTTTTTTGTTTTGTTTTATGGCAGGTGGAGTTTGGGGCCACACCCACTGATGTTCAGGGTTACTCCTGGTTCTACTCTGAGAAATTACTCCTGGCAGTACTCAGGGGCCATAAAGGATGTCAGGGATTGAAACCTAGGTTGGCTGCATGCAAGGCAAACACCCTACCTACTGTACTATCACTCTGGCCACAGAAGTGGTTTATCTTTAAATAGATTTCATTTCATGTTTTTCCTTCACCAGGGACCAAGACTGTGGGATAGCTGGATTGGCTACACACAGGAGTAGTTCCGGGACTATACTCCTGCCTGGACAGTTCCAAAGCCAAAGAGCCAGCTTCCAGGTCTCTTCTCTCTGGGATCCTAACAAACGGACAGTCAGGATCCCCTCAGCACATACAGGCAGCACCCAAGCTAGAGCTCTCAGCCTTGTGCTTGCCAGGAAATGGCCTTAGATTGTCAAGCAATCTTCTGGGTCCTCAGAAGAGTTGAGAGTGCTCTTGTGCTCACACTGCACTGGAGCACGTCTCATTCCATGAGGGGATGAACGTGAGCTCAGTAGGATGAATGTGTCTAAGTAGCAAATTACGTGAGAGGCAGAGTCTAGCTGCATTTACACTGTCCTTTGCCACTGTCACTCTCAGTGAAATGCTTCACTTACTGCATTTACACTCTCTTCAACTACTAGACAGGGAAGGGATGGGAGAGAGGGAGTAATCATGCCATGCTACGAAAAAGCATATTAAAAGGACAGCTTGACTGCTCTGTAACTGCCTTATCCAAGATTTTATGATAACAGAATGAAATGATATGTTCACACTAGTTAGCAGGGTTTCATGATTTTGTAACATAGAGGAAAATTTAATTACAAAGTCTATCTCTGTTACACAGCATCCTCTTTTGCAGCTTCTCATTTCCTGGTTCCCAGGACTTCTGGTCTTTAAGATTTCTTCCATTAGTGATTTGGTATTCACACATCATTCTCTTTGGACCCTGCCGAGTGGCTAGTGATCCAAGATGACAAGGAATAGAAGTTTTTGTGTTAACACTGAGAACAGTTTAATGTGGTGTTCACCTTACAAAATATTCTGTCCCAGATAATAGATCTTTCATTTATACAGTCCTCATCCAAAGCATCCAGACTCAACTGATTCATGCATCTTGAAGATCCTCAATATACTCAATTGTAGAACTGTAGCACTGACTTCCCATTGTTCATTGATTTGCTCGAGCGGGCCCAGTAACGTCTCCATTGTGAGACTTGTTACTGTGTTTGGCATATTGAATACATCATGGAGTGCTTGCCAGGCTTTGCCATGTGGGTGAGATACTCTCAATAGCTTGCCAGGCTCACGGAGAGGGGCGGAGCAATCTAACCTGGTCGGCCAGGTCAGCTGTGTGCAAGGCAAACACCTTACCCACTGTGCTATCGCTCCAGCCCTTGCTCAATTGTATTTTAAAATACTCCAATGGCAATAATTGGCTTGTTGAAAGATGTCATAGAACTTGCTCTTCAAGTCCATGCTTTCCATTGGATGTGTATCTCATTTACTTGTCTCTATTTCCTCTCTGCAGAACGCTGTTTCTTTCTTGAACACATAGTTTCCCCCTGCCCCCTTCACTCATTTCACAGCTTTCTAAGCAAGTTCACTTGATCACTTGATCACTTGACATTTCATTACTCATCGATTTGCTCTAGCAGGTGCCAGTAACATCTCCATTTGTCCCTGCTGCGTGCTAGTGTAGCCCAATGGCATCTGCTCAATCTAGGAACACAAAGAGCCTCAAACTGATGGTTCGGGATCTTGATGAAGAAGTCTGACCATCTCATAGGTGGGTGGCCACATGATCTTTTGATGTTCCGTGGAATCCAGTTGGTAATGACTCTAGTCCAGCGGTCATCTTCAAATCTCATTATGGTGTCTAGCCCATTTGATTTTTGATGCCTTGGCAAACGAGACAGCTTTTCTGATTCTTGATCATCAAGGGAGGTCAGAACTCTGGATTCTTTCTCTCATTTGAGTGAAGCGTGATACTCTAAGCATAGCTCTTTCGATTCCTCTTTGGGAGACCCGAATGGTGTTCTCATCCTGTTTTCGTAGGGCTCAGGTCTCTCAGACACATGTTAATGCAGGAAGAATGGTGAAATTGAAGAGATGTGCCCGGAGCCAGAGGTTCTTTGTCCTCTTAGCTATTTCTTCGATGTTCTTCAAGGCGTTCCAAGCCGCTCTCTTCCTCCTGCACAACTCAGGTGCCAGTTCATTTGTCATGTTGACTTAAAGACCTAGGTACACATAGCTGTTGCATTCGGAGATGTTCATTCCATTGAGAGCGAATGGAACGTCAGGAACAAGACCATTTCTCATAAACATTGCCTTTGTGAGATTCAGCTGTAGTCTGACCTTTCCACACTCACAGTTGAAGTGGCCAGCACTTGTAAGCAAGTTTTAGACAATAAAAATTACCATGCTTCACAAAAATTTAATTATTTATTTTAAAAGACACGACATGACCAGAGTGATAGGACAGCAGATAAAGCATGTGCCTTGCATATTGCCAACCCAGGGTTTGATCTCTAGCACTGATACAGTCCCTGGAGCCTGCGAGGAGTGATCCCTGAGTACAGAGCCAGGAGTAAGTCCTGAACATCATAGGATGTAGCCACAAAACAAAACATTGCAGGGCTGGAGAGATAGCACAGTGGGTAGCGTGCTTGCCTTGCACGTGGCCAACCTGGGTTCGATTCCCAGCTTCCCATATGGTCCCCTGAGCACCGCCAGGAGTAACTCCTGAGTGCAGAGCCAGGAGTAACCCTTGTGCATCGCAGGGTGTGACCCAAAAAGAAAAAAAGAACCCAAAACACTGCAGCCACAGCTCTCAGAGAAGCACTGAGAAAAAAAGTACAGAAATTTCACTGGTCAAGAATCAGGGGAAACAGGTGAGGCAATGTTTGGGATCAATGTGGGGTTTTGATGTTATTGAAACTCATTGCTTTCATTTCTTTGTTCCATAAAACTGACTAACACTATAATCTGGTTAGAAAAATTTAACTTATGTTTATTAATTTAATAAACTAGGATGGACACCTGTTCTTCTTTTGTTTATTTTCACCAGGAATTCAGATCTACAAAACATATTGGCAAATAAACATTTAAATGAATAAATAAACTAGAAAAAACAAGTTCATACTAGTGAAATATTTATGTTGGGCATATAAGAACATAAAAGTTCAGGTTTCAATAAACTGTCAATATCCTTTTAGATGAATTCAGAATCTGTAAGCATTACCTTATTAACCTTTCATTCTCCTTCAGAAGCAAATGTGTATTGGAAATTTGGCTTTGGTAAATTTATTTTACAGCATTTTTCAAAAGAATTTTTAAATCATGTTAAATTAAATTAAAGTTATTTTCTTTCTGGAGCGATAGAAAATCGCTGGAGCGATAGCACAGCGGGTAGGGCGTTCGCCTTACAAGCGGCCAACATGGCTGACCCAAGTTCGATTCCTCCACCCCTCTCGGAGAGCCCGGCAAGCTACCGAGAGTATTCGATATGCCAGACACAGTAACAACAAAGTCTCCAATGGAGACGTTACTGGGCCCGCTCGAGCAAATCGATGATCAACGGGAGGGCCTTTACTTTACTTACTTTATTTTCTTTATATTTTTGGGGGGGTACTCGGGTTATTTTTGGCTCTGTGCTCAAGAGAGACATTTAGAAATGCTCAGGAACCATAGTCAGTGCGAGGAATCCTATCAGGATTAACTTTATGCAAGATCAGTATCTAAACCCCTGTCACAACGTTCTGGACTCTATTTTTTTAATAGATACTTCAGACATAAGAAAATAAGTTTGAGAGTTTAGATTCCTCACCCCCTTCTTTACTTTGTGTTTAAGATATAATGATGTGGGCTACATAAACTCTGGACACAGCAATCACCAGCCCCAGCAGGCTCCCTGAGTGGGTCAGTCTGCAACTCATTCTGTCAAAATCATTGATGTTACAATGTACTAACTGCTTTGACTTAATACAGTTTACAGATTGGTCCCACTTTTAAAAGTTTCTAATTCAAAGAAGGAAAACCTCTATCCTCTTTTTTTTTCTTTAAGTTTATTGAATCACCGTGAGATAGTTTCAAGCTTTCATGTTTGGGTTACAATCACACAATGATGAAACACCCATCCCTCCTCCAGTGCACATTCCCCACCACCAGTATCCCCAGTATACCCACCCTTTCCCACCCTCCCCCTGCCTACATGGCAGACATGATTCCCCATAATCTCTCTCTACTTTTGGGCATTATGGTTTGTAATACAGACCCTGAGAGATTATCATGTTTGGTCCTTCATCTACTTTCTGCACACATCTCCCATCCCGACCAACTCCTCCAGTCATCTTTTTCTTAGTGATCCCTTTTCTATTCCAGCTGCCTTCTCACCTTTGCTCATGACGCAGACTTCCAGCTATGAAGCAATCTATCTGACTCGTGTATCTACTATCCTTAGGTGTCAGCCTCATGTTATGCTGTTTTATACTCCATAAATGAGTACAGGCCTTCTATGACTGTCCCTCTTTCTGATTCATTTCACTTAGCACGATACTCTCCATGTTTATCCATTTATAAGCAAAGTTCATGACTTCATCTCTTCTGATAGTTGCATAGTATTCCATTGTGTAGATGTATCAAAGTTTCTTTAACCAGTCATCTGTTCTAGGGCATAGGGCACTTGGGTTGTTTCCAGATTTTGGCTATTGTGAACAGTGCTGCAATGAACATACAGGTATAGATGTCATTTCTACTGTGTTTTTTTGCATCCTTGGGATATGTTCCCAGAAGTGGTACTGCGGGGTCATATGGAAGCTCAATTTCTAGTTTTTAAATGATTGTCCATATTGTTTTCCAGAAAGGCTGGACTATTGGGCATTCCCACCAACAGTGAAAGAGTGTCCCTTTTTCCCCACATCCACACCAGCACTGGTTCCTTTTGTTCTTTTTAATGTGTGCCAGTCTCTGTGGAGTGAGATGATATCTCATTGTTGCTTTGATTTGCATCTCTGATGGCTAGCGATGTGGAGCATTTTTTCATGTGCCTTTTGGCCATTTGTATTTCTTTTTTGAGGAAACTTCTGTTGATTTCTTCTCCCCATTTTTTGATGGGGTAGGAGGTTTTTTCCCTGTACAATTCTACTAATATCTTGTATATCCTGGATATTAATCCCTATCAGATGGGTATTGGGTAAATATTCTTTCCCATTCTGTGGGCTCTTTCTGTATTTTGGTCACTGTTTCTTTTGAAGTGCAGAAGCTTCTTAGTTTGATGTAGTCCAATTTGTTTATGTTTGCTTCCACTTGCATGGTCAGCACTGTTTCATCCTTAAAGATGCTGTTAGCTTCAATGTCATGGAGAGTTCTGCCTACATTTTCCTCTATGTACCTTACGGATTCATGTCTGATATTGAGGTCTTTAATCCACTTTAATCTGACTTTTGTGCCTGGCATTAGACAGAGGTCAGAGTTCTTTTTTTAACTGGTACCTATCCAGTTTTCCTAGCACCACTTGTTGAAGAGGCTTTCCTTGTTCCACTTCACATTTCTTGCTCCTTTGTCAAAGATTAAGTGAACCTCTATCCTCTTAACAATGCCTCTTTCTGCTTACAGAAATCGTGTTTGCACCAAGTTAACATCAGAGGAAAACATGAATTTCCCCAAGTACATATGCATCTTCCCAAAGTTTTTCCAGGTACAATTTAACAATAGTGAACAATTCTGCCATGTGTTTCTGTAAGCAAATCCTCTATAATACCTACGCTGTGTCGGTCTTGCTATGGTGAATGTCACTACAAGTGTATAGACAGTAAGCTTCTCTCTCTTCCTCCCTCCCTCCCTCCCTCCCTCACTCCCTCCTTCCCTCTCTCTTTTCCTCCCTCCCTCCATCCTCTCTCTAGACCTCTCTCCCTCTCTCTCTTCCTTTCTCCCTCCCTCCCTCTGTCTCTCTCTCTTTCTCTCTCTCTACCCCACTCCCTCTCTGGTAGGGAGAGTCTTTGATGTCTCGAATAAGTTTCTGAAGAGGACTTTACAAATTCCTTTCTTCTAGAGAATAGAGTTTTTGCTGTTACCTGACACTGTCGCAGGACACAAGGATTATCTGCACTTTGCCATTTGAAGGAGCTGTTATAGGTGTTCCCTTCATAGGTGCAACCTAGATGGGAACAGAAGCAGGACAGTGAATGTGGGTTTCCTGTAGAGCAAATGACATTATATCCTCTAAGCCAGGACTAGTGATCACTGGAACCACCACACTTGTAGACTGTTTCTCTCCAAAATACAAATAAGCATCTAAGTATCCACTTGACTTTACTTACATTAAGTTCTTTCTGTACTAAGATTAAATTTATGGACTGTATGATTCTCTTGGTGAGTGAAGGATACCAGGACTAAAAACACAATCTTACATAAAGATAAAGGAGCTCAAAATTGCTGCAAAACTGCTTAAAAATGGCAGAAGATATATGCACAAAATTAAAAATTTAAGAATCAATTTTAAAATTGAAAACCTAAGACTCCTTAGAAGTGCCTTTACCAAACAATATCATCTATTTTTTCTCTCTCAGCTCTAAACTTTCATATTTAACTTTGATTTTACTTTTAAGTAGTGAGCTAGACTAAGAAAATCAGAACTACCAGTGTAAGCATTATCACACATGACATAATTGGCAAAAAAGATATCAAAGACCAGAGATCCACTAAAAAGGAAACAAGCATGTTAGCATTAGTTCCCATAAAAGACCCAAGGAAATAATGGTGCAGTGATCACAGCTTAGACCTTTGATCCAGTTTGTACAAATAACATCCTCCATACCATATGTGTCTAACACTCGTACTTCTTGGAGATGTACACCAAGGTGTGCCTCTAGTAACTATTTCCTCACATTCCCAGGAGGCAAAGAGAATTGCTGATTATAGTCCAAATTGCTTCAACCAAAGAGTAAGAAGCAACATCACACACAAGGAATCACAGAGGAATGAAAGGAGTTAGCTCTGGCTTTCTAGACCAACATGTCAGTCAATGTCAATTTACAACAGATTTTCCCCCCTTACTCCTGGCTCTGTGTTGAGGGATCAATCCTGACAGTGCACAAGGAATCATAGGAAGTGTTAGGACTGACCCAGATTGGCCACATACAAGACAAGTGCCTTAACCGCTAGTGCCATCCCTCCAGACCTCACAAAAGATTTTCTTATCTAAGATACAGAAAGCACAATTACCTTCTTCCCAGAATTATTTTAGATACAAAATAAGCCAAGAAATAAACCTTAATTTATACAGAAAGGGGGAAAATAAAAAAAACTTAATGTTTTTCAATAGCCTTTTTTTCATTTTTTAGAGTAGGAACCATGATGTAAATTATCAGAAAGTTATGAATGAAAATAACTCAGTTATATTCTACTCCTTAGTTCCTACAAATCAAATTGCTAAAGTACACAGCTGATTGGAAGCACTTTAGGAAAAATTCTTTCACTATGTATTTTTTAATTTCCTTTGCATGAAGTGTTACAGAGATAAAATGTTCAACCACAGGGACTCCTAGCATACTAAAAATACTTATGCCAAACCAAAAATGAGTACAGTAAATTTTCAACAACGAAAACCAATATAAAACAATTTGGGCTAACATAAATCTTGCCGAACAAATGCACTTACAATAGACGTGCCATATGCAAGTCTGATCCACTAACACAGACTCACTTGGATAATAAATAACTTGTTCTGAGAGATGGAGGTGGGAAAATCAGAGGAACCAAATCCAATTCATGTTGAGTCCAAGTAAATATGAAAATGTCTGCCAAGTCGGCCAGCGGAGTTCCCAAATATGTTATATATTCATCCTTTCATCCTTTAGATTAAAAAAAATTGAAAGAAAGGATGATTTTGTGCTGCTAAGATGACAGGCAAATGCTTGTTTTTCTAATTTTGGAGGCGGAAGTGCACCCCAAAACTCAAACAGAAGAAGCAGGCAGGCCAAAGGCCTGTCCCACACCAGGCATTTTGCACCAAGCTTTTTGGGATAATTCATCCCCCTGTGAAAGAAAACGGATTGGGACAAGTGTGGGGGACCCAGAAATGCTTTCTACTACAACTGTCCATGGGAAGGATGTGTATTCTATCCTAGCTTAACATGGAAACATACAGTCAAACTGGGAAGTCTTTCACGGCATATCCACTCTTGCTTACATGTAAGTCAACAATGCATGAGTTTATATAATATATTTTCCCCAATGTTGAGTCTGAATAATAGAATAGACTCAAAGAAAGCACCTCTAATAATTTCTTTAGCAAATATACATTATAACTTTCCTTCTTAACCTACCTTCATCAATATCAGCTGGATATGGACATTTCAGTATACTGTTTCTTCTAGGAGATTTACTGTGTGAAATATCTTGGGGATAAAATAATTCAAGAGAGGACATTTTCACTGCTCTTTGGGTTCATGAACTATGACTTAAATATCAACTTAACACAAACATACAGAGTCATTTCTTTCTGCTGAATTTCTTCTTACTTTCCATAAGGCAAAAATTTTTATAACAAATTCTATTTGTCACCAACTATATCCTGTTAATAAGACAGATAGACAATATCTCACCTTCTGTTATTGAAACCCCAGGGAAAAAAATACCAAATATTTCTTATTGTTCTGAGCAGAAAGAAAAGTAAAGAAACGTCACTGTACACAGAGACAGGGCTTCTCAAATTACACAAATGAAAGTCAAGTTTGGTTTTTTTTTTTGCATTCTTTCAATTACATGTGGACCGATAGATGCTTTTACAAATATAGTAAGAATGTCTTATCAGAAAAATGTAATCTAAAAGACTAAGAAAATATATCTATTTTAAAACTACTATGTGTAGCAGACATGGAATTTTTGTGGAATTATAACAAAACTTTCTAATTGTTCACTCTTTATTTCTGTACTTATTTCACTGTATTTCAGCTGTCATTTACGGACCATTAGCTACCTGAAGAGCATAGTTGGGTTGCAATTCAATAAGAAAAGCATTTGTGGGAACAAAAGAAAACAATAAAACAATGTTAAATATATACATATATATATATTTAGAACTAGAATCAAACACATAATATAGATTATCCTCTTCATTTTTGCAGATGAGAACATTTACACCAAGAATAAAACAACTTGTTCAACATTAGAAGGCACTATGTATAAAACTAACATCCAGATCCATGTCCTCTATGAGACCCTCTTCCAGATCGAAACTGCTCATATCATTGGGTATTGTCTAATTCATATTATTACTCATATTAAAGACTTCATGACCAGGAACAAACTAACACTGTCCTTAAAAAAGTAAGTGATAAAGACCCAGAAATTAAATAAAGAGTGGGAAAGTGGGCGAGGTAGAGGAGTAGTTGTCCAATCAGTAAAGTTATTCAATCAGCAAAGTAGCTTTTACTCTTTCTTTAAATACTTTAAAATAAACTTTCTTGGTGGGATTCATAAACATTCATTAATTTTCTTCTGATGATAAAAAGCTTTTGAAATTCCACAAGCTGTAATAAAACCATCTGTACTACAGCAGAAATAAGTGATTTTTTTCTGATTAACTCATTATAATGTATTTAAGTTAATAGTTACCTACAGTGATCTTGCTCCATTCCAGCCCCCTCACTGGCTCAAGAGGAAGGGACTTTTGACAATGATAGGGATTATTTAGGGTTATTATAACTGGGGCTGAGAATGCCATAAGCATCTTGAAGGTGGAGGGTCATAATACTGCTAAGTTAATAAGTAAACAAATTAATAAATAACTTCTACAATGCACAACAAAAAATGTACCAGTTCAGAGAGTCAAGATTGAGAAACCTTGATTTAAATCATCACACAGCCAAAAATTGTTCCTTATATCTAAAATATTTAAAATCTGAAAGTAGCTATACTTTCCTCTTGCATTTGTCACCTTTTTATGTTAAAGATTTTCCATGTGATGAAGAATTTGACATTTAAATATATATTTTGAATAGTAGCTTGTCCAAGTCAATGAAGCCAATCAGAAAACATATGGCAAAAGAAACGGGTAAAGCACAAATAAATTGAATCCATAATTAAGCAATAAAACTCATTTTTCCTTTTAGTTTTGACCTTTTTCAGTGGCCACATTATCCCAAGGGAAAGAGAGTACCACATATTTTCATCATATTGTTACTAAAAGAGCTGTTAAAAATCATCAGGATCATAAAAAATGGCATTGGCCTACTAACAAACGTTAGATCCATCTAGTTTCACTCTTGTAACCATAATCCTTTTGCTTTTCAACATTAGCCTCAGAGCAGAGAACTGGATTTTGAGTTACCAAAAACAGCTACTGGCAACAGTTTGGGCCTCAAAAGAACCCCAAACTACCTTTATATTTAACTTTCGTCCTTTATATTTAACAAACAACCTAGGTCCCTATGGTTATCCACCATCCCAATCATTCAATACTTCTTAAGACTGGTTTCCATTTCCACCATGCCATTGCAACTCCATTCTCTAAATGCAGCTGCTGTGTAAGGTCCAGAGCTAAGAAGTACTTATACTGTACAAGACTTTTCTGTAGTCTGCTGACCACACTTTCCTTGTTCCACTTCCTCCAGACCTTCTAGATACTCTCTGTCAGTTAACTTTTCAGTCCCTCCAACCCTTAGTTCAACTCAAAGTTGGTTGTTTCTAACCTGGACTCTTAGCACAAACTCACTGACTGTTTCTCTGGTCCATCTTCACACACTGCCCTGCACACCACTGCTGTGTGCTCTGTAAATAAGAGCAAGGTTTGTGCATGTTCACACTTGACTCTATCAGTGACTGATGGTTCTCAGCTGAACTGAGATGTCCACAGTGATGCATCATCAACCTTTCTCCTCACCAAGGGGAAGCAGAGTTCCTAGAAGTAGGAAGAATGTGCAGGAAGAATCGAATGTATAGCCAGACTGAAAACCATTGATCTTTACTAGCAAATGCAAAGCCCCAGGACTGTCCCTGTATGACTCACCCTTTCGCTTTTATTTGTTGCTCCCAAGCTCTATACTGCAGACGGATGGATTAGAATTCTTTCAAGTTTGGTCCTATCTCATCCCATGATCTTGCAGATGTTGGCCTCTTCTCGAAAACCCCAGATCTCATACATTCCCTCTCCCC